GGAGAACTTCTTCTCAGTCTTAGAGATCTTTTCCTTCCTGGGGAGAGCTGATTTTTCAGTCTCTGACATGGGTTTTTAAACTATAATTTCCTAGTGTTAGTTCGACCCCAGCAATTAGGACACAGCATCACCCACAAGTAGTCCTGTGCTCCTATTGGATGCTTTAGGGTAATTCCCAGGCTAATCCAGAACCTAAACCAAAACTCTCAAGTTATTGGTCATAGATAAGTGGTGTTAACCGGCCGCCTATTCACTTGTACTGCTACACCCATGTGCTGTAACTAATACCGCTTCAAAGTGCCGGGATGATTCACTAAATCTAAACTTTCCTGTAACTTCCATTGTGCTAAGAGAGCGAGGCCAACACTTCATCAAACTGTCACATGTATTAGCGTTCACATCCTGTTTGTGATGCAATAGTTCTTACTAACTCTGCTATTGACCCTGGGTCACTGATTCCCAGGCTCGCCTCTCAAACTTATTTTTAAGTACTGCACGTGTTTTGCTGCTTACTTCTGAATGTTGCCTCTTGTATAACCAAGTTCTTGTTTATTAATTTCTCAAGGCTTATTTCATAACACAGGCGTCCCATTGTCGTCTCCCTTTTCTTTTTATATCTATCTTTACTTGCTTGCTTGTATTGAAACTTAAGCTTTTATTCTAAGTACTTTTAAATACTCAAAGCTCTTGAAGCAATTGGTAAGTTCTTCGAAGTACTTCATTAAAAACCTTTAAGTTTTCTCCTAAGTACTTTTAAACACTTAAAAACTCTTGAAGCAATTGGTGAAATTTCCTCGAAAATTTCAAGTTGCTTCAGTTGGATGAAAAAAAGCCAAGGCAGCAGTAAACTGTTCAAAGACATGTAACATTCAACTGAACGCATATGCACGTATGTAGCGTAAAATTTATTTTCCATAAATGGATATATAAAAATTTAAGAAACAAGATTAGCAAAAACTGTTAATTTAAAAAGGGGGAGTAGGGATCGTCATAAAAACATAGATAAACAAAATGCAAATATTATATTTTGAAGGCTACAACTAGGGACCTGATAAAAGGTTAAAAATAGTGTCTACATTATTTTCCCAAGCTATAAATCCCTATTTTGACTTTACTAAAATTTTGACTCAACTTGTTTCTGTACTCCTTGACAATCCCTATTCCCCATTTTAAATTAACAATTTTTACTAATCTTGTTATAATAATTGGGCAGGTTGTTGCTGATGATTTTTATATAATGGGAGAACTAGTGATTATATATTTATAGCCGAGTCTAGTGTTCAACCTTGTCACAGAGCATTATTGGAACGTCATGTACGTATAATATGACGTAACTCATAAAACAATAAATCCTTTCATGCCATTTTATATTATCCTAAAATCACCATTTATGTTTGATAATAAACTCGTACTAATTTGTTTTTCTCTTTTATTAACCTACGTGTTTCTAGTTTATGACAGACAAAGGCACCTTTCTTACTTTCAAACCTTAAATACATAAATTACTTTCCCTCTTAGGGCTACAGATCACCTAAAGTAGCCTTAAGGGTGAAACTAGTTGTGTACATTTACATCACCTCAAGGTTTAAGAGTAAAAAAATCTTTATTAAAGAGTGCAGGTTTTTGTATGCCTAATTACCCTTTCACCTGGAGGAGGAGATGGCGAGTGTATTGCAATCGGGTCCGTGTGTGTGTGTGTGTTTGTCTGTGTTTCCGCGCGCGTATCTCGAAAACTAATAGACCGATGTATACTAAAATTTTATACAAGATGGGAAGTCAATATGGCACAGTCCTCCTCAAATATGGTTCACTTTGAAGCATTTTTATAATGTGGAGAAAGGGCATTTTTGCGGTTTTGGGTTAATAAGTCTGTAGAATGTGACCAGATTTGTACCAAATTGCATGGGTACATTAACGTCTAGATTCCTCACCACATTCCAAAACAATTATCCAGATCGTTGATTGTTTTGGATCTGAGAAGGATTTCCTGAGTTTTCGAAGGTGAAATCTGATGTTATCGGATATAAACGCACCCAGTCTGGAAAAGGAGCGACGGGGCGAGGTTATGCAATCTCTCTGATTGCTCCTGTTTATCACTGTACTCTGCCTTGGAAGGATTGATTCGTTTCAGCACAATTGAACCAGTCTTGGTCATAAATAAACAATGAATATGTTGCTGCTTTATAAAACGTTTTTGCTCAAATTGTATAAAAAGTCCTCAGTATAAACCCATGTTATAATCATAAAGCTCATGAAAACATTACACAGTGTCGTAAATTATGGAGGCGTATTAAGACTAATTTGTTTTCTCACCCAAACCAACGACCCGGAAAACATTTACCTACCTTAAGGTTAAAATTATGAGCTATACGTTATAATTACATTTTCTTAAGAAATTTTTCTGTTCTAGATACTTTAGCCAAAAGGTATGTTCTAACAGAGTAGTATCAGGTTTATTAACTCGCACTATCTTATAGTATTACATAAGAAACGAAAATAATATAATCTAATAACTTACCTTGAAAAAATGGTGTATTATGGCTATTTATGTAACATATATATACACACAATCAAATACAAGTTACTGTATTTCATTGTTCAGTATTTCTTAAATAGATAATACAAGTAAATTATTTAAAAACACTCTTTTTAGTATGAAGGTCATTATTCCCAACCTGTCTCGGGGATGACCAGGGTTAGATTTCTAGACGGAGAGAGAATTATTTTTATCTTTCTAAAGTTTGGATGTAAGATATTTCAAATATTTAATAGGTGTAGAACTGCTATTCTAAAATGACCTCAAATACTATTAAAAAGCCCTCTTGGTTCAATATATTTATATATGGTATGTGCATTAATGAAATATAACTATCATGTTATTTAAAATAATCAGAATTATGTTGTAAATTTATTTTTGTTATTATATTTATATTTCGTCGCTCGAATTTAAACTCGAAACCTGTCATATATACACTAGGTCAGTGTTCCACCAATTGATTTAAACAGTTAACTTTCTAGTGTATACTAGTAAGCTATAACAGCCATAAATACATAGAACAAGCTGTAAGACCAGTTGATAGTATTAACACAGAGATGATATTTTAAAGAAAATCAATATCACACATACACAAACAAGAAAATAACACGTTCTAAATTAATATAATTAAAACTAGTCTTTTAGTACAATTTCTAAGTTATCAATATGCATGTATAGATTAATATTCATTTCAGATTCATTTCTGATGCTCGAAATACTAATTAATATATCATGAATGAACAAAAAACAAAAAAGTATATAGTTCATACTTCACTGAGTTATCTTTAAGCTGAAAAAATGTATATTCTTTCTTTTATTTTTGTAAATTGTTCTATAATCTTACGATATGCAGGCGTTTTATATTTGCTTATTTTTAGTGTAGAAATTTTTAAATTTTTTTCACTCACTCTAACCTATGCAGTTTTTGCATAACACATGGTCGTTCTATAGAGGTAACATCTGCTTTTCCATTGTAATACTGCACGTTATGCAAGAATGTCGATAGCCAGTGTCCTCGAATAGTAGGTCACATAATATCTCGAGTTTAAGACCTCCACTATGTTTGAATGTGAATGGTCAGCCACGTGGTTAGCACTAGTCACTATGAGTAACTCCAGTTAGTAAGAACCACTAAATTTAAAAAGTTGTGTAATGGAACCTGGGTGAATTCATTAGAGGGAATGCATCTCGAGGGAAGA